GAGAGAGAGAGAGAGAGAGAGAGAGAGAGAGAAAGAGAGAGAGAAAGAGAGAGAGAGAGAGAGAGAAAGAGAGAGAGAGAGAGAGAGAGAGAAAGAGAGAGGGAAAGAGAGAGAAAGAAAGAGAAAGAGAGAGAGAGAAAGAGAAAGAGAGAGAAAGAGAGAGAGAGAAAGACAGAGAGGGAAAGAGAGAGAGAAAGAGAAAGAGAAAGAGAGAGAAAGAGAGAGAGAGAAAGACAGAGAGGGAAAGAGAGAAAGAGAGAGAGAGAGAGATGCCAGATTTCCTCCCTTGAAGTTGGAGCTTCAGCGGAGAAGGCCCAAAGGGAACATGCCACTAGCCCCAAGCTTATCAATTATTATGAATATGCTAATATTCCATTTTATTCCAGGATATTGTTTTAAATGTGCTGCTTTAATATAAGTATTGTCTAGTGCTGAGTTAAATTCAATGGATAGTTGAAACTCGGACATTCTATTTTGTGGTACATATGGTTAAAGGATAATAACAATAACAACAACAATAATAATAGTAATAGCTTATCCCAGGTCTTTTGGAAGACTTGGTAGTAGGTGGACAAAAATGCGAAATCCAGTCTGAATAGCTGGCTGACCCTTATAACAACAACATTGGACCTGAATATCCTGACTGCAAAAAAACCTCCACCTTATTCAGAACTCCCTGGTGCTGTCAACTTTGTTGCTTGTATCTCTACAATTTATATTGTTTTATTTGTTTCCTAGCATGGATACATCACCTAGGTATCTTACGATTCTTGATGAATTTTTTTTTTTTAAATGTACACTGAGAACATATGCACCAAAGACAAATTCCTTGTGTGTATAATCACACTTGGCCAATAAACCTATTCTGTTCTGTTCTAGTTCTATTTCTATTTCTATTCCATTCCAATTCCTATTCCCTTCCCTTCTCTATCCTATTCTATCCTATTAGTCCATTCTATTCTATCCTATTCTATTCCCTTCCCTATTCCATTCTATTCTATTCCCTTCCCTATTCCCTCCCCTATTATATCCCATCCTATCCTATTTCTATTCCATTCCATTCCCCTATTCCCTATTCTCTTCCCTATCCTATCCTATCCTTTTCTATTATTCCTTATTCTATCATTCTCTAGGCTAGCATAGAAGGAGGTCCTCCCTTAATGTGATTTTCTGGATATGCAGGCATTTAGGATGCTTTCTGAATGCAGATATTTCCATTCTTTAAAAAGTGGTACCTATGGAAAACGTGAGGCCTTTTCCTGCAAAGTCACGTCGTAAATCAGCGACAAATCTGTCCCGGATCTGCTCCCTCTGTTCAAGAAATTTAAAAAAAAATCCATCAGTTTAGGGAAAAAAAGAGGATTTTTTTCAATAGCTCGGTGCCACAAGATAATTGACACCAAGACAACTTTTTATGTTATTGTAGAGAGTAAAAAAAGGTGACCTTGGTGGAACTATGCAAGAGCTCTTACTTAGGCAGAGGGATTAAAAACGTTTTTTAAAGTCAGAACAATGAGATAACATTTGGGGCTCAGACAAGATGCTTTCCTGATTCATGGTATTTCTCAATCTCAGCCACTTAAAAGATGGATGGACTTTGACTCCCAAAATGGCTGTCTGAGGAATTCTGGGAAGTGAAGTCCTCCCATCTTCCGGTGGCTGAGTTGAATTACACTGGAATGAAGTATAAAAAGGAGGCAAGGCAGCAAGGACTGGCAAGAAAATGTTATTTCAGACAGCCAACCTCAATAAATATAATTTTAGCCTCCTTGTGGAATTGATTTCCTAGTCTGGTCTGGTGGGACCATTTGGTGGGATGGACAATTGTGCCCTGAATCATCAACACAACTAACAAACTGCTGACACATATGTAGTTACTTCAACCAAATTCAAAGCCATCGCTTGAAACTTTCAAGAAGAGATTGGACTCCCATCTGTCAGAAATGGTGTAGGGTCTTCTGCTCGTGCAGAGGGTTGGACTAGAACAGTGGTCGCCAACCAGTGAGCCGGGGACCAGTGGTGGTCCATGAGAAAATTTGGGTGGTCCACAGAGAAATGTCACCCCACAAAGCAATTAATCCAGGTTGCGCAGGAACACAAGGCTTGTGTCGCTTGCACTGCAAACAACATGAGGTAGTGAGGGGAGGAGGGGAAGGGGGAAAGGGGGGGAACTTGCCCCACCTCACCCCATGCGCCTGGCCTGGACACTGGGCTGCTTCTTTCTTCTTCTGCTTTTGGCTGCACGCAAGGACCCTGCAAGGCCTCCTGCTCCAAGAGGCTGCGCCAGCATGAAAAGTCTCACAAAGACTCATTTCTGACGTTGTTTGGGGAAGAGAAACTTCTGCTGCTTCTGCTGCTTTCCTTGCGTGAAGCCAAAAGTCTCTCTCTCTCTCTCTCTCCCCCTGAGAACGGAGCTGGAGACAGCATCCTGCGATCCCAAATAAAGAACGATCGATCGGGAGGAAAACAGGGTGGGTCATTTTCCTGCAGACTCTTTTGGGGGATTTTCCCAGGGTCTCTGGTCCGTGGGATTTAAAATGATGAGTTTGGTGGTCCCTGAGGTCCAAAAGGTTGGCGACCCCTGGACTAGATGACCTCCAAGGTCTCTTCCAACTCTGATTATCTTGTTATCATTTGTTACTTCTGAGCACAGAAACACTGTAATCCCACAATTCCGTGTCTGTGCTCCACAGACGGGCTTCAGAAATGGTACTATGGGCCCTTCAATCTATAAGTAGTCCTTGACTTACGACCACAATTGAGCATAAAAATTTTGTCACTAAGTGAGACATTTGTTCAGTGAGCTTTTAACTACCTTTCTTGCCACAATTGTTAAGTGAATCCCTGCAGTTATGAAGTAACACTAATTTGCAAAGTGAACTAGGGCTCCCCCGTTGACTTTACTTGTCTGAAGGTCGGCAAACGGGGATCACGTGTTCCCTGGACACATATAATGTGACTCAGAATTTTGATCATGTGACCGTGGGGAATGCTGCAATGGTCGTTAAGTGTGAAAAGCAGTCAGGGGTCACTTTTTTCAGTGTGGTTGTAACTGCAGTCACTAAACGAACTGCTGCCAATTCAAGGACTGCCTGTATTTTCAGTTCCCACAAAAGTCTGGTCAATTTCTGGGGCAGGGGCTTGAGTGGCAAATAACTGATTTTGTTCCACCCATCACTCTTCTTAAAATACTGTCAACTCATAAAATATTTCTATGGTCTTTTTAGAGTTGCCAATAGAAAGGGAGGAGGCCGCAGTGGGCAGATTGCATTCCATCAATGTTTTCAAAGATAGTAACTAGGCGACTGAAGTTTCTGCCAAGCAAAATTCTAACTGGAGAGCCTGATTGATGACTCTGGGCTATGGAGGTGTCCCATTGGAGAATATGAATTATGTTACACCCAGGGGGTGGGAGAAAACCAGGGTCAAGGGTGACAATGAATGATGTGCCTCAGAGTCGGCTAGACCGAGGCAACTAAACCAAGTGACTCTGGGCAGCTTACAATCCTAAAACAATTGAAAAGACATTGAAACAATAAAACATCCATCCAATAAATAAGTATAAACAGCAGCTGGGTGTCAACTCATAAAATATTTCTATGGTCTTTTAGAGTTGCCAACAGAAAGGGAGGGGGGAGCAATGCGGCAGCTTGCAAACTGAAACTGCATTCCATCATTGTTTTCAAAGATAGTAAGTAGGTGACCGAAGTCTTTGCTGTGCAAAATTCTAACTGGAGAGCATGATTGATGGCTCTTGGCTATGGATGTGTCCCATTGGAGAATATGAATTATGATACACCCGGGGGTGAGGGGAAACCAGGGTCAAGGGTGACAATGAATGATGTGCCTCAGAGTCGGCTAGACCGAGGCAACTAAACCAAGTGACTCTGGGCAGCTTACAATTCTATAACAATTGAAAAGACATTGAAACAATAAAACATCCATCCAATAAATAAGTATAAACAGCAGCTGGGTGTCAACTCATAAAATATTTCCATGGACGTTTTAGAGTTGCCAATAGAAAGGGAGGGGGGAAAGGGGTTTAAAAGAGCAGTGCGGCAGCTTGGAAATCGAAAGTGCATTCCATAAATAGTTTTCAAAGATAGCAGCTTAGGTGACGGAAGTTTTTGCTGTGCAAAATTCTAACTGGAGAGCATGATGGATGGCTCTTGGCTATGGAGGTGTCCCATTGGAGAATATGAATTATGATACACCCAGGGGGTGGGGGAAAACCAGGGTCAAGGGTGACAATGAATTGTGTGTCTCAGAGTCGGCTCCACCCAGGCAGTGCCGGACATGTTAACTCCCAATAAATCCTTTTGAAGATTTGGAAATTTGGCTCGAGACTCATGATTTAAATGGGGGCGGGGGGCGGGGGTTAACTACTGGAGCCCTGACAAATACCCAGGCAGTCCTCAACTTATGACCTTAAGGACTGTTTCAAATTCTGATGGACCTACCTGGCAGTTAGATTTGGAGTCCCAATGGTTGCCCTCCTCCCTGGTGCAATCACTTGACAAAACTTCAGGCGTTTGGCAATCAGGCAATCATGTCACCTCATTTTACAAGGTTGTTTTTATCCAACTTCCATTTATTGGTAAAACTGGGCCCATAATAAACCACTGGTTCGCTTAAGAATTGCAGCATTCGCTTAACAACTGCGGATTCATTTAATGACTGTCACAAAAATGTCAAAAAATGGACCAGTCACCAACCTGCGTTACAACCATCACAAGTTCCAATCATGGTGGGCAGGTCTCATTACGTTTATAATTCAAGGACTGCCTGGATCCAAGAATTAATTACAACAGAGCTGGAAGGGACCTTGGAGGTCTTCCAGTCTACCCCCCTGCTCTGGCAGGAGAACCTATACCATTTCAGACAGGTGACTGGTCTGTTCTGTTTTTAAAACCTCCAGTGGTGGAGCGCCCATGATTTCCAGAGTCAAGCTGTTCCACTGGTTAATCGTCCTCCTTGTTAGGAAATTTCGCCATAGTTCCAGGTTGCTTCTCTCTTTGATTAATTTCCATCCCTTGTTTCTTGTCCTGCTCTCTGGTGCTTTGGAGAATAATTTCACCCCTCTTCTTTGTGGCGGCCCCTCAAATACTGGAAGACTGCTATCCTGTCCCCTCTAATTCTTCTTTTCTCTAGACTAGCCAAACCCAAAACCTGCAGCTGTTCTTCATATGTTTTAGTCGCCAGGCCTTTGATCATCTTAGTTGCTCTTCTCTGAACTTTTTCCAAAGTCTCAACCTCTTTTTTGCAGTATGGTTCTTTGCTCATTTACAGTTTATTGAAGTCTAAACCTGGCTGGTTTCCTGCCTCCCCTCCCCTGAAACAACCCAGATTACTAAGGAGGCACCGGAAGGATGAAAGCTACGCCGTCACCTGCCTTGTCAAGCTCAAAAAACTCCATCCGTTCCGCTTGGCTACAGCTTCTGCCAACGGGAGAAACGTTCAGCATCCCATTTCGGAATTCAATGAAAGTGCCCCTAAAAAAAAGAGAAGAAAATCATATATATGTGTTATGTCTCACCTGGACAAACAAAGTAATAAGTCCAAACTTCCAACTGAAACACAAATAAGCAGGCAAGTCCGGTAACTACAAGGTTAACTTCCTTAATCCAAAAACATTCTTGGCAGTCTCACGCCAGCTGTCTGCCAAGTCTGATAAGGAAGCATAAATCACAAGCCATGAGGCCACACAGGAAAAATGCAGAAGCTTCTATCCCAAATAAGAACGAGAATCTAGAGCTAACACGCCCACTTTTATTCCCTGAGGGGTGTGTCAGTCTCTCATCTCAGTCCCTGTTTTGTCCTTTCCTTCTACGTTGCATCTCACGCCTATGCCTGCGTCTTTGCCTCGCATCAAACCAACATTCCTCAGTTTGATCCTCAGCCAGAGGCTCTGCTACACTCTTCTGATTATCTGCCGACACCTGAGGCACAACCAGGGAGGAAGGTCCTGGGGAGGAAGACAATTCCAAATCCTCCAGCAAAGCAGGCTCAAACCTCAGAGCCAAATCCTCCTCTTCCTCATGGCTCAAGTCTGTGTCCTCCAGCAAAGCAGGCTCAAACCTCAAGGCCAAATCCTCCTCTTCCTCATTACTCAAGTCTGTGTCTTCTAACAGAGCAGGCTCAAACCTCCGACTCACAACATGTATTATGTATGTATGTATGTATGTATGTACGGTATTCAGCTTTGTTCAGGTATTTTCCCACGTCATTATAGTTGTGCTTTTAAAGTTGTAGCAACATTTCGGCAGAATCTCATCTGCCATCTTCAGGCTTCTATATATCTCGTTTGGAGGTTCTAGCAGGGGAGCGCAGCTATCGTATACCCTTGACCGAAGATTGGTACACTCCTTCTATCTGGGATGGTCATCCTCTTCCAGCGAGCGTGCAGCTCCGGGCGGGACGCACATGGAGCGTTGAGGGAGGAAGGGGACACCCGCCTAGCCAGCCAGATCAGCCAAATCAACCCTGGCGATCAATGGGGTGACAGATGTCGCAGCCAGATCACCCTCACATCCAATATATATATATAGTTGGAGAGCAGAATAATTTATCATTTTCATTTATCTCTGTTGTCCCCTCCCACTGGGCCGGGAGACAACAGAGATAAATGACTTTTTCCTGCCTTTATAATTTTTACCAATAACTCAAGGCAGCGAACACACACACATACACACTACTTTTTCCTTCTCCTCCCTTCTATTTCCCCCACAATAACAACCCTGTGAGGTAGGTTAGGCTGAGAGAAGGACTGGCCCAAATCCTCTGCAGTTGTTGGAAATATACCACCAGGACTTTCAGCTAGGATGTTTCGAGCAACGAGGATGATTGAAGAACAGTTGCAGGAACCGAGTATGGCTAGTCTAGAGAAAAGAAGGACTAGTGAGGACACCACAGTGGTGTTCCAGTATTTGAAGGGCAGGGGGTCAATTTATTTTCCAAAGCATCAGAGGGCAGGAAAAAAAAATGGATGGAAACTCATCAAGGAGAGAAGCAACCTAGAACTAAAGAGGAATTTCCTGATAGTTAGAACCATGAACTAGTGGAACAACAGCTTGCTTCCAGAAGCAACCTCCATCACTGGAAGTTTTTAAGAAGAAGCTGGATAGTCACTTGTCTGAAATGGTATAGGTTCTCCTGCTTGAGCAGGGGCTGGACTAGCAGACCTCCAGGGTCCCTTCTGATGGATTGATTCTGACTGAGCTGCACTCAACCAGAGTAACGGCATAATTACCGAAGAGAATCTATCTGCTTGAGGGGTGTTTCTAGCACAACCTACAATGTTCAAGAGCCATACTGCATAAAAAGGAGGAGGGAAGTCAGTGCTCTCCTTGTTTAGTGTACAGGTGCCCTGCAAGTAGAAAGCTAGCATTCAGGAGAAAGCGATCAGGATTCCCTCCCTGATTTGCTAGTTTACACTGGGAGTTTTGCAACCTAAATCCAGATTGACATGTTTATTCTGCACGGAGGAACAGATATTATATTGGTTAATTATTTCATCAAAGAGCAGAAGGTGACAAAATTATTTTCCTGACTCTCTCTACATGACAAAAGCAAGAGGCAGCTATAACTTTCATGCTGTGACTTTCCCAGAGTGGTGGGTTCGAAACACTTTGCTTTTTTTTTTTTTATAAAAGTTTTTATTGTTTTTTAACATACAAACAAACAGACAAAACATAAAAACATCAGCTCCCCCATATTTATATACAAACAGTGAGTCGGTTGGTTCATCAGTTTTGTGCGTTCACTTCATAGTCACAATTACAATTACCTTATATAATAACTCTTATTGTCAATACAAACTTATAAATCATCATATCATTATTAAAAAAAAAAGAAAAAGTTTGACTACACTTTTATTCGATCATGCCTTTGTGAGATAACTATATTTTAAAAGATTTATTCTAAAACAAATCATATAGTCGTGCCAGTTCTATCTTAAAATAAAAAGAAAAAAGGAAAAAGGAAACCATTACATAAGTATAATATCCAATACCAAGCATAAGAAAAGAAAAATAAATTCAATATTATTCCTTATTATCTAGCATTTCAAATATTCTATTTTTGTATTTCATCATTCAGCCATTGATAGAAAAGATCCCAAATTATATAAAATTGTTTATCTTCTTGCTCTCTGATTTCAAAAGTCAATCTACTCATCTCAGCACATTCCAATATTAACACTTTGCTTTTTTGATGTTGTAGCGTTCTCAGGAAATGTCCTATATTGTGATTATTACAAAGCAGAGACTGAATTTCTATGATCTTTTCTGCAGTGGTCATTATATGAGTTGTAAAACAAATGCTCTGGTTGTTAAGCAAATCCATTGTTTATTATGGGCTGGGTTTGCTGAAAACCAGAAGTGTCAATTTTTGGCAAAAACGTAAAATGCTGTAACTATGCGATGCTGCAAATGGCTGTAAATGCAGGCTGGTTGCCAAATGCCCAAAATGTGGTCACATGACTATAGGAGTGTGGCCATTGTACCTTTGGAATTGGGTCATATGTACTCCTGGGGAGGTTGGTCATAACGTTGAACTAAGTGGCTGGTCGTAAGTCAAGGAGAGATTCAACACGGAAATAAGGAGAAACTTTGTGACAGCGAGAACAATCAACCGATGAAACAGAAGTTGCCTTCGGAAGTTGTGGGAGCTTCATTATTGGAAGCTCTGAAGAAGAGACTGGACTGCCATCTGTCAGAAATGGTGTAGGGCAGTGGTGGCTAACCTTTTTGGGCTACTGTGCCAAAAATTGTCCGTGTGCTTGCACACTTGCACTCGCATGCCAGCACCCAGGGGGCAATGCGCCCCTCCCAATGCCCCCATGCACGCGCAATCCCCACCCCACCCACCTCCGCCACCCACTTACCTGCACTGCACCTCACAGCTGTTTTTCAGCCGGTTTGAGGCCTTTTTTGGCCTCTCAGGGGCTTGGGGGAGGCTTCTGCAGGCTTTGCAGGCTGAAAACTAGCCCCGTTTTGTCACTTCTGGTATTTTCAGAAAATCGAAGTGATGAAAACAGGGCTAGTTTTCGGCCTGCAAAGCCTGCAGAAGCCTTCCTCAAGCCTTTGGGGGGCCAGAAAAGGCCTCAAACGGGCTGAAAATCAGCTGTGAGGCACACACATACGCAGTGATGTTTGCCTGCAGCTCGCATGCTGGCACAAATAGCTCTGCATGCCACCTGTGGCATGCGTGCCATAGGTTCGCCATCACGGCGTAGGGTCTCCTGCTTGTGTGGGGGGGTTGGACTAGATGACCTATAAGGTCCCTTCCAACTCTGTTCATCTGTAAATCTGTAAAGTCAAAGGCCACCTGTATAGGAAAGCACTTTTACGCACCTACCTTTTCCTGGGGAGCTTAATTTTTGCAATGTAGCTCAGGCAGTAGTTGATCAAATCCTGAAGCAGCTCTTCCCCCAGGTGTTCTTGGATGCTCTGCTCAGGAGAGGCAAAGAAGAATCAAAACAGAGTCCCAAACCTCCAGAAGCAACTCTCAAGAAATTAAACCCCAGCAAAATACTTTCTGGGTTCTACTTCTCAAAGCTCGGAGGATGGTTTCTTCCTGGGGGATTCTTACTGGCCAGGCTGGGATCAAATGGGTGGGGTCCCCATGGGGTGATTCTTACACGGGTTCAGCAACCGTGATTTGGCCAAAGGTCCACCTTGTCTCTCATCAAGAGCCTCAGTGGCACAGTGGTTAAAGTGCAGTACTGCAGGTTACTTCTGCTGACTTCCATCTGACTGCAATTTGGCAGTTCGAATCCCACCAGGCTCAAGGTTGACTCAGACTTCTGTCCTTCTGAGGTGGATAAAATGAGGACCCAGATTGTTTGGGGCAAGAGGCTGACTCTGTAAACAATTTATAGAGGGCTGTAAAGTAAAGCTAAGGTAAAGGTTCCCCTCGCACATATGTGCTAGTAGTTTCTGGCTCTAGGGGCCAGTGCTCATCTCCGTTACAAGCCAGCGCTGTCCGAAGACGTCTCCATGGTCATGTGGCCGGCATGACTAAACACCGAAGCTGTACGGAACGCTGTTGCCTTCCCACCAAAGGTGGTCCCTATTTTTCTACTTGCATTTTTACATGCTTTCGAACTGCTAAGTTGGCAGAAGCTGGGACAAGTAACAGGAACTCACTCCATAACATGGAGCTGGGGATTTGAACCACCGAACTGCCGATTTTTCTAATCGACAAGCTCAGTGTCTTAGCCACTGAGCCACCACGTTCCCTGTAGCATTGTAAAGCGGTATATAAGTCTAAGGGGTATTGCTATCACAGCTAAACATCTTCTTTTCTTTTTTTTTGCAAATATATCTTTACCATTCACCATTGTTGCCAAATTAGGTGACAAATGGAGATGTCCAAAACACCAAAGCAGAACACACCAAAACAGGCAACCAGCATGTCAAATAAAGGCAAAAAGCTAATTATCATAAATCAGATTATGCTAAATCAATGTGAAAGCCCAGAAAAGACCAAGGATGATCCAAATGGCCTTGAGGGAGGAACAGGATCTCTTTGGGAAATCAAACTGATATTCTTTGCACTGGAATCTTTTCCTTCAAGTTCCCAATAAACATCCACTCAGCCTCTGGGACTGAACTGATTTTAAATCTGCGTATAGGTGAGCCATTCTCACATCTTTGGGCCAGCAATTCCGTAAGGTTCATTGTGCCCTGATTGAGGAGGCGTTTCTGTGAAGCGTGCTCTGTGGAGTATGCTGTGCAGGAGAGCCAGAGTTGAGAAATACGCAATGTTTCCAAAAAGAGACATTCTGAGGCCAAAATCACCCCTTGCCTTGCACATTCGGAGGAGCCCCACTGTGAATGGAGTGCCTCAAGCCCCAAAGTATTTGATTTACTTATTTAGTTGTCCAATTTATCAGCTGTCCATCTCCATTTAAAACCCACTTTTAAAAGAATACATTAAAAGATTATAAGAAGCTATAGGGCAGGGGTGTCCAACCTTGGCCACTTTAAGCCTGGAGGACTTCAACTCCCAGAATTCCCCAGCTGGGGAATTCTGGGAGTTGAAGTCCTCCAGGCTTAAAGTGGCCAAGGTTGGACACCCCTGCTATAGAGCAGGGGTCGCCAACCTTTTGGACCTCAGGGACCACCAAACTCATAATTTTATATCCCAGGGACAACTAACTGGTTCTGTGGGCGTGGCCTAATTTGTGGGTGTGGCTTGGTCATGTGATTGGCTGGGCATGGCTTGTATGTTATAAATTATAAATATTTATATAAACATTGAATTTTTTATAAAAAAAGAGCAACTTTTACCCAAAATCAGGCAAAGCAGTCAGGCAGATTGAGTTGCTCACAGAATCAAAGATTCATTTGGAAATCTATCTATCTGCCATTGGCTGTCTGTCACATAAAATTTGCTTGCAAGCAAACTCACAAAATTAACTTACAACACACCATGTATGTAAATATTGAATTTATTAAAAAAGCAACTTTTATCCAAAATCAGGCAGATTGAGTCGCTCACAGAATCATTCAGTGATCTATCTATCTGCCATCGGTTAGCTCAGTCTCTCAAATTTGCTTGCGGCGAGTCTGCACTGAATTTGCTTGCAAGCAAACCTTCAGTCCTAAATGAGGTTCGGCTGTGCTTAGCTAGAAAGCAAGAAATCCAACCATTTCCTGCTTCCTAGCTAATCTAAATCTCCCGGCACAGAAGAACAGATGATGGTCGGAAAAGGAAAAAGAGCAATTTAACAGGCAAGTTTATTGGGTAAGGAGTGAGTGGACGGGGAGCGTTCCAGCGGGCCATGTGGGCTGAGCAGCCTTGTGTTTCTGCGCAGCCTGGATTAATTGCTTTGGGCGGGGGGTGCTCTGGGTGTGAGATTTCTCTGTGGCCCACCAAAATTTTCTCACGGCCCACCAGTGGGCCACGGCCCATCGGTTGGTGACCACTGCTATAGAGAGTCTCAACTTACAACCACAGCTGAGCCCAACATTTCTGCAGCTAAGTGAGACATTAATTCAGTTTTTCTCCATTGCAACCGTCATAAATATGAATCGGTTGTCATGCATCTGAATTCTGATCATGTGACAGTGGGGATGCCCCACGGTCATAAGTCACTTTTTTCAAGGTCATCGTAACTTGGAAAGGTCACTGAAGGAACTGTTGTAAATCAAGGACTACCTGTATAAAATAAAATGTATAAAAATTTCAGCTCTCTTTTTTCTTTTTAACTGCACCCCACATCACTGTTCTTACAATGCAGGTAGTCCTCGAGTTACGATCATTCATTCAGTGACTTGAAGCTAAGGAAGGGTTTTACGACTAGTCTCCAAAGTTCTACAAGACTTCCTAATAAGTGGTTTTGGGTAACAAAGAAAAAAGTTTGGGAAGCTCTGCTTAACGTCGAATCAGACACCAGGGTCATACTACCATATGTGGTGGACATGCCCCAAAGCCAAAAAATACTGGAAGACAATATACACATGGTTGGAAAATATGATAAGAAACCTGAGACATTTTTGATGGGCATGATTCCACGAAATTAAAATAAGGGTAAGACATATTTGGTTTTACACATCCTAACAGCAGCTAGGATCGCATATGCACAATGTTGGAAAAACCCAGAAATCCCTGCAGACGATATTATAATCAAAAAAAATTCTGGAATGTGCAGAGATGAATAGGTTAATTCTAAAAATTAAAGGAAAAGAAGATTCGGACTACTTCATAACATGGGAACTATTCTATAAATGGTTAAATGACAGATATTGGGGTTAGAGGAGTGGAATTAGGTGAAATATGGTTTATAGAAGAAAGAAAAACAGATGGGTAAATATTTCTGACTGTTATATCATTGATACTATAATGGAAGATAATGTATGTTACAATATGATTAATGCTATTGTATTTGTTTATATATTACTGCATATTTGTTTATATATATATGATCATAATGATGTTGTTTGTATGTTAACAGTTTGGACACCTAGAGAGCACACTGTTCAACATAGAAAGGAAATGTTTGATATAAAACAATAAAAAATATTTCAAACCCTGCATTAATATCAATATATGAGACAAAATATGTCAGTTGGTCCTAACTTACAAACCTACCTGCTTCTCAAGAAGTTTTCCATCCTTGTAGGACACCAGACCATTTTCTGGGAAAACATAGTCATATTTTCCAACCACTACCCTCCAAACAAGGAAGAAAAAAAAAGGAGCTTTAATTTATATTATTCAGTTCAGAGAACATTTCCATGAAATTAACAGGAAAAAAAAAACTTCTTTCCTATTTCTCCTCTGAATTCATAAAGCACTTGATATTTTTTTATTTTAAAAAAAGAGTCGGTACAGCCACCTCAAAGCAATCGGGTAAATTAATGGCATTCAGTTGCATATGATGTGCGGTAAATATGCCCAAGGATAACTGACAATCTCTGTGCCTCTCGATGCCAAATAACTACACAGAAAACTGGTGTGTTAGGAAGCAAAGTGACAGTTTCTAACATTGTGTTTATTTACTGTACAAAAATGCCTCTGGGCCCCAAATAGACCAAACAGCATCTTTGAAAATGAAGATGGCAAGGTGGGTGCCACTCACTCTTTGAAATATCTTTATTAATTGCATGTTATTTTTCACTCTTCTTTTTTGTAAAGCTGAAAACCACTTTTGAAAAAAGATTTTTGGCATGAAAAATTCAAATCACTCCTTATTGTTCCAATATCACTTTTATGTGCTGATGGTGTAAATTTCTTTTTGTGGCTTGTTGCAAACCATTATAATAAAGTTACCATTAAATCAGAGGTCTTCAAACTTGGCAACTTTAAGACTTGTGGACTTCAACTCCCAGAATTCTCCAGCCAGCACTGAATGGAAAACCCCTGATATTGCACTAATATTGCACTATACAATAGAATTCAGTATAGTTACTGCCCTGGGATAGAAGCTGTTTTTCAGCCTATTTGCCCTTGTTTTTATTATTATCCTGTACCGTCTGCCAGATGGTAATAGTTCAAAAAAGGGGGTGCCCAGGATGAGGTGGATCTTTAAGGATGTTTTGAACTTTCTTAAGGCAGCGGGAGCTCTAAAACTCTTCCAAAGAGGGGAGAGGGCAACCCAGGATCCCCTGGGCAATCTGCCCCTGTGCAATGAATGCGATAAAGAAGGCAAAGACAGCTGCCCAGCCCATAATGACAATTCGGACAACTTTGCCACTCCTGGCTGGGCTTCCCACGCCTTCTCCTTCTTCTTACCGTCCTCCCCCAGTTGTTCTTGGATCTTTTCGAAGTCTGAGCCTCCAACCACGCCAACTTTCACCTTCTGCCTCAAAGCCTGTAGGAAATCTGCCATATCGGAGGTGATTTTCTGGATCGGTTGAAAAAGAGAAATTGGTGTGTCAATCAGATCAAACAGGGATTCCAGCAACACTCGCAAGCTCTCTTGATGGTCCCTATTATTATTTCCACACCCCTCATTTATAATGTGCATTTCTTTCCATCTTGTTCTGAAAATGGTTCTGGGAGATAGGAGGGGAGGCCATGAAGTGATCCAGTGGGATTGAATTTGGGCCTTAAGCCCAAATTTCAAACTCTTAACAGAATAAGTGAATTGGAAGGGGCCTTGGAGGTCTTGTAGTCCAGCCTCCTGCTCATGCAGGAGAGGCTATAGTACTATTTCAGACAAGTGGCTGTCCAGTCTCGTCTTAAAAGCCTCCAGTATTGGAGCACCCACAACTTCTGAAGTCAAAAGTTTTTCTAGATTGCTTTCGTTCTTAATTGGGTTTAAAGAAATAAATTTCTTTGAAATATTGCAATAGACTTGGTTTTAGTGGGGCATATTGGGATGGCAGAGTAAAACAATGACCAACTTTGGTAAAGAATGAAAAGTTAACTACTTCAATACAAATAGTAGCATAATAATACATTTCTTATTCTTTCTCTTTGTAGTAAAAATTACAATGTTTGAAGCAGGTTGTGTTCTTTTCATTCATTGAATATCAAATTATTGTTGTTATTAATTGAAGACACCCTGTGCAAGGCATTATTATTATCAAGCATTCACTGTGCAAAACGTTTTACGAAATATAGGAAAAACAGAGCTTTATCTGAAGAATCTTACTTCACACAACTTGTTTCACTAAGCTTTACAACTGTTTGCAAGGTAAGGCAGTGTATTTATACAACAAAGTGAATCAATTAATCAAATCCTTACAGACTATACAGCAGCATAACTGCAGGTGAAGAAATAAAATGGAGAACTGTCCTTTTCTATCATTGCTAACAAGGAAATAAAATGTCTAGCAGCTCATCAAACCAGGAACTGGTCTTGAATTAGAGACAAGTTTTGTTATCACTGCTACATTTTTATTACATTGTAATTATGGCCTTTATCATTAATTTCTTTGGAAAACGGTAACTTTGATCCATGATGAAAGTAAGGTGAGGATTTAAGAAATCAGGACAAATGGCCCCAAACTACAAAGTTCAACAAACCCACAACTAAGTTTGGATAAATTACTCCAAGCAAGGAATAAAGAATTAAACAAGAAATGGAGCTTCTCCTTCTATCCAGCCACCAGGGATGCTGCTGCTTATTCACCCCCATCCAGCTTTACTTGCTTCTCATTATGAAGAGAGTCCCAACGATTAAGTGCAACAACGTGCTAAAAACTGTAATGAGGATTAAAAAGGGAGAGCAAAATCCAAGATATGATGGGATACTGCATTAAGAAGCCTGGCCAGCAGAGAGCTTTCAGCTATTAATCAGAGAATAATGAAGAAGACGAAGAATTTACAGGCAGTTCTTGACTTACAACAGTTCGTTTAGTGACCAAAGTTACAACATCAGTGAAAAAAGGGACTTATGGCCGTTTTTCACACTTACGACCGTTGCAACGTCCCCATGATCGAAAGTCAGACAGTTGGCACGCTGACTCGTATTTACGATGGTTGCAGTGTCCCTGGGTCACTTTACAACCAGTTAAGTGTGACTTCACAATTGCAATGATTCACTTAACAGTGGCAAAAAAAATCGTAAAACCGAGCAAAAACTCACTCAACCCCCGTCTCACTTAGCAACATGTATTTTGGGCTCAGTTAAGGTCAAAAGTCGAGGACTGCTACCTGCAACTGCCGCCACCTAATCAGCAGGTGCAAACGTGCCAGGGAGTTGCGTTGCCGGCTTGCAAGGAGCTGCCTGCACCGCCTTCTTCCCCAAACAGGCTGGCTCCCGGGCTCGAGGCACTCTGCCCATGCTCAGAGGCCCCCTTCCAGCTCGGCCTCCCCCCTAGTCCCACCTGCCGAGGGGCGGTCAGCGTGCCGTCCACGTCGAAGAGGCAGAGAACCGAATCGCCCTCCATGGCTCTGCCCGTCGGCGGCTCCTTCGGACGGGATGAACGGAGTTGAAAAAAAAAAAAACTACAGGCCCCAGCATGCCTCCGGGCCGAGGCGACATCTACACGCATGCGCACCCCTCCCTTGCAGCCTACCGGAGGCCTATGGAGAGTGCGTAGAGGTAGAAAGGAGCGGGCGGCGCTCGTCGCTTCCGGTTTTCGTTCGGCTGCCGCCCCAATGCGGGGCGGAAGAGTCGAGGGGGAAAACATACGTGGCCCGCGGGGATTTGTTAGGGCCGGTTAAGGGCAGAGTTCCTCCACCCTCTGCAGCTTTGGGATAGGTGGACTTCAACCAATTTGACTTCAGGAGTTGTGGGAGGCTTTCAAGAAGAGACTGGACTGCCATCTGTCAGAAATGGTGTAAATCAGAGGTCCCCAAACTTGGCAACTTTTAAGACTTGTGGACTTCAACTTCCAGAATTCTCCAGCCAGCTTTTCTGGGAGTTTAAGTCCACAAGTCTTAAAGTTGCCAAGTTTGGAGGCCTCTGGTGTAGGGTCTCCCGTTTGGGTGGGGGTAGGACTAGATGGCCTACAAAGGTCCCTTCCCACTCTGTAAATCTGTAAAGTCGAAGGCTACCTGTATAGGAAAACACCTGTGCACCTACCTTTTCCTGGGGAGCTTAATTGTTGCAGTGTAGCTCGGACAGTAGTTGATCAAATAGTTGATAATCTACACTCAGAATTCTCCAGCCCGCTTTTCTGGGAGTTGAAGTCCAACAAGTCTTAAAAGTCACCAAGTTTGGAGACTTGTTAATTTGGAGACCCTGTTAATTCACCAGCCATCATGATTACACACACACACACACACATACACCCATTGAACCTTATCCCCCATCTTGAAGTTGGAGGTGGCAAAACACGGATTTCACTCAAAATAGCGCCTGCCAATTCAGCCCCTCTGAAGTTGGAAAGGGCTTGGCCCGTTCAGAGCCAAAGCACAAAGACCCCTGAATAATTTTCCCTCGAGATATTCCCCCATGCATTAAAAGTGGAACAGCTCCCACTTTTGCATTACTATTATTCTTATTATTCTTATTCTTATTATTGTTGTTGTTGTTATTGTTATTATTTTTTTGAGATTCACAACGTTTGGGGCTGGTTGATAGCTCAACAGCTCGAGTCCTAACCAAGAACTTTTTCATTCTAAGTAGATTATTATTTTTTATTAGTAGTAGTAGTATTAGTATTACTACTACTACTACTACTATTTGAGATTCACAACCTTTGGGGCTGGTTGATAGCTCAACAGCTCGAGTCCTAACCAAGGACTTTTTCATTCTAAGTAGATGATGATGATGATGATGATGATGGTTGTTGTTGTTGTTGTTCTTGTTCTTGCATTACCTCCCCCCCCAAAAAAGAGGAAAAACCTCGTGCTGCCCATCCACACGTAGATTACTGAGTTGGAAGGGTCCTTGAAGGTCATCTAGTCCAACCCCGCTCAAGCAGGAGATCCCACCTACACCATTTGCAGTTTTTACTCTCGCTTGGCCTTTTCCCTCTCTTTGGACCAAACTCTGCACGACTCCCGACCGGCCAATGGGGCGACAAACCCCGGGAATTTGCCCCCCCGACTCCCCTGGACGTATCTTTGCTGCCATCTGGTGGCCGCGCCAGGGACTGCCAAGACCCGGGGATCCCAGGCCGCCTCCCTCAGGTGATGACGTCACTTGCCCTCCACGCGCGGTGCACCGCCACTCCCAGCAGGCACCGCGCCGTCTCACCTCCCGGGGGTGTCTGCACGGGCTTCCCGCGGTAAATCCGATCACCTCCTCCTCCTCCTCCTCCTCGGCGCCTTAGACTACAGGGCCCATCTTCCCCAGCTTTGCATTGCACGGTCGGGTTGGGGAAGGGTCGCGCGTGCAAAGCGGGGTTTCTTGCACGGTGCGTTGGAACGCCTGCAATCGGGCGTGCGTGTGTGTGTGTGTGTGTGCGTGTGCGGACTCCTTGCGGAGTGGAGTGCAGGGAGGGCGGTCCCGGCTGGTCTGCAAACAGGGCGAGCGAGGTTGGGTCTGGGGGCCGGTGTGGAAAGGAGACCAACCCAGAATAGTGGGCACCTTGACCTCTATTATTATTATTGTTGTTATTATTGCTGTTGTTATTGTTATTGTTGTTATTAACGGGTTCTATTCCTTTAATCACATATTTCAAAGCAGTGGTATATCTTTTAAATATTAAAATCTGCAGAGCCATTTGACATTCACCCTCTATTTGTAAGGGGTGTAACAGTAAGTTTTCAGTGATGAAACAGCCTTTTAATTAATAGCTGTTCACTTATTAGTAAGATATTCACTGGCAAAGTTTTGAAAAACAACTGACATATAAAGAATAAGAAAAGGTGACAAAATCACTAGGCTTTTTCTGAAAAAGTACATTTTCCCTGGTTATTCTGAACTGTTGAAGTATTTTCAAAGTATCCTTGTTTTTTCAAGCTATTCTGCAACCGTCTTTTGCAGTCTTGCTATGACGGCATCCAAGCGGGGTGGTCTAACCGTGGGTTCGGTGGGCGCATCCTTTTGCCATAGAAACAATTTTCTTGTCCGTATAACAATTATAATTTGCCTCGGTTTCCTTCCAAAAAGTTCTAGATTTTGCAGTCTCGCCTAAGCCCTGGGAGTTGCTATAATGGTCTCTCATCCAAGTCCAAACTGGGTTAGAATTTGCCCACTTCCCAAATCCAAGCTTGTTGTTGAGGGATCTTATAACTCAATAAAATGTTAAGACATGAAAGGCAAAAGCTGGGAATGGGGAATAGAAAGAATCCTTATAGCTACGTGCAGGTAAAGCAGAATAAAATATAATTACCTCAAACACGATGTCTTATCCTTTAATTAAGTGAACATCTTTTTTTTTGGACTTTTTTTTGGAGGGGGGGTTGGACTAGATGACCTACAAGGTCCTTTCCAACTCCATATAATCTAATCTTTATACACACACACACACACACACACACACACAAAAGTCTGATCACAAAGGTACTGCTTTTCTGAAAAGACACACAATTGCTGTAAAAGTTCTACCCCGCTTTGCACCTGGATGAAAACCTTTATCTGTTTCATTACAGATGAAGATCCTCGCTGGTTGCGCCTGTCGTCATTTGGTCCTCTTCGGGCCCCGTTGTTTCCAAAACAGCCTTACTCCCCAATGGTGGAAAAGAGGCCACCAGGTGCTCCGTTCTTTTCATGGTCCTACCATTCTGCAACAGGGAGGTGGCCGGACGCCCAGCCTTCTTCGTGGGGTGCAGCCCCGGTGGCTGAGTAGCGTCGACTCGTCTCAGCGTGATCCGAAGCCACCGTCCAGCTGTGAAAACGCAGAGAAATTTACCCTGATTTACCGATTCCCGGCCATCAGGTTGTTGAAGCTCTTCTCGAGGCTGAAGGTGGTGCAGACGGGCCTTGGTTTGCTCATCCTCCCTTCGGTCTGGTTTGTCCACGGGATAAACCAGGTTATTTGGGTCACAGGCCTCTTCTTCTCCACCCTCACCTTTCTGTACGCCATCAGCTTCTTCCTGCAACGGGTTATCGGCTTCATGTACCTGAACGAAAGTGGGACCCTCCTGAAAGTTTCCCACTTGACATTTTGGGGGAAAAGGAGGAATTTCTGCTGTCCGGTTGAGTCGGTCGCGACCTTGGAAGAAGAAGGCAGAAAGAGCAACAGCTTCCTCCTGAAGTTCAGACAATGTGACCAGAAAAAAGTCTTGTATTTTTCACTTGTCTTGGGTCAAGTTGTGGATGCGGAAGCCTTTGCCAAAGTGTTTGGGTGTTATCCCTAAGTGTGTGTGTGTTTGTGTGTCAGAAAGAGACAGAAAGAGACAGACAGAAAGAAAGAGAGAAAGAGGCAGAGAAAGAGAGAGAGAGAAATTTCAACACCCAGAATGTTTTGCACTGAGGATTCATAACCTTGTTAGCTAAAATACAGATAGATAGCAGATAATCAGAGTTGGAAGGGACCTTGTAGGTCATCTAGTCCAACCCCCCGCTCAAGTAGGAGACCCTACACCATTTCTGACTAATGGCCTGAACTTACAGTCACAATGGACCCCCAAATTTATGTTAAGTGACACATTTATTGAGTTTTGCCTCGTTTTATGACCTTTCTTACCACAGTTGCTAAGCCTGCAACTAGTCTTAATGCCCCTCCAATTGTCCCTTCCAACTCTGATTATCTGTTACTTCATTTTCATCACTGTTGATGCCATTGTTTTCATACACATAGACATCTCAGGTTTAGCAAACCAGATTTATTTTCTCTTGTCACTTTCCCACTGGGTAGTGAAGTGGCATCAAAGAATTACCAAACGGAACTGAAATTTGATCAGACCAACTCAATATAATTGTAAGCGTTTTTGGTAACTTTACTAAATGCTACTAAAATAATACCATCTACATTTTATTTGAACGCTATTGGTATTGTATTTAGCAGATTAACGGAGTTGGAAGGGACCCTTCAGGAAGACTATGTGTCATTGATTTTAGTGTTTTCATGCTACAAGCCACTCGGAGTCACTTCGAAACAAAATGGATGGCAAGTAAATTTAATGAATAAATAAAATAAACCCTTCTCACCAAAATTTTCTTTGAATGCTGGTTTTCTGGGAATTGGCTTCCTTACGTTTCTCAGAAGTGGGGTCCATTAACTCAGCCATGTTCCACGCAAGCAAACGCGCAATCGTCATTGCTATGCTTAATCAGCAGTCTCTGGAAACATCCACGAACGGCAACACGCCAGCAACTTCAATCAATCAACCTTTATTGTCAGAGTACAACATGTGTACAATGAGATTAGCTGACCCTCTCTTCATGCAACCCCTCCCCTAACAACTCACAGTGAGGACAGGAGTCCCTAACCCAGTCCCAATCTCATTACACTAAGTGACCTTGTTGCACAATGCGCCGGCCCCACAAGTCTGTCATACTATGTTGGCATGAAGTTATTTTCGTAAAGGAGTCTGACAGCCACAGGTAGAAACTGTTCTTCAGCCTGTTGGTGCTGCTGGCTGTGCTTCTACATCTCCTTCCCGATGGTAGGAGAATGAAGAAGTGCTGCCCAGGGTGTGAGTGGTCCCTGAGGATTTTCCTCGCTCTCCTAAGGCAGCAAGCCCTAGCGAGGTCATCTAGCGGTGTCAGGGAACAGCCCACTATGTTTTGTGCTGTGCTCACTATCCTCTGTAGTGTCTTTCTATCTGCGGCTGTCAAGCCAGCATGCCACACCGTCATGCAATATGTGAGGACGCTTTCTATTGTGGACCGGTAAAAGGAAGCCATCAGTCATTCCACTTCGTTCTTTTGCAAGACCCTGAGGAAATGGAGTCTCTGTTGAGCCTTTCTGGCTACTTGGGTTGTCTTGGTTTTCCAGGTAAGATCTTCACTGAGGTAGACTCCCAGGAATTTAACGGAGGAAACTCCACACAGCCCCCCCCCCCCATGTAAAGTGGGGCGGGTTCCTCCCTCTTCTTCTAACACTGTCTCCACTTTGTGTCTTCTGCAATTTCTGTTGCTTCCATTTTCCCCATCAAAAAAACTCCTGCTTGCTCTCCTGGTTGGTTTACTCAGCTAAATTGAATCCCTTCATTTTCACCAAGATGTAGGAAATTAGCTGAAGACCAAGAGCTGCATTTGCACAACAGGGACGGTTTAGTTGCTTTGGTATAGCAACTAAATGGGACAGACAGAGGCTTCAGTGGATCGTTAGGACTGCAGGAAAAAAATTGCAATCAATTCTTTTATCCAAAGAAGAGATAATTTGTCTGTCTGTCTGTCTGTCTATCTATCTATCTATCTATCTATCTATCTTGGTTTCTATTTTTAATTTGCTTCCGGATGTTGTCCTTGCAATGAAAAAAAAATGAAACTTTGATTTTGTTTTGCTAACTAGACAGATTCATTGTTATAGAAGTGGCTTGTATACTGGTACACCATATTTTTTTCTCTCCCCCCCCCCCCCCCGCCTTCCTAGTTTTCCCTTACATTTTTGAATTTCTCTTTGTATTTTACATTTTGACAAAGCAATACAATTTTTTAAAAAAAGAACCACACCATTGAGATGTATGTATTTATTGTTATAGAGCTCCTCCTGCAACAGCCAAAAGAACAAAGAATGGCATGATGTAGTTTTCCTGCAGGACATCCTGTCTGGTAAACATAGACTTGAAGTAGGTTTATAGTAATAGCCCTTAGACTTATATACTGCTTCACAGTGCTTTCGCAGTCCTCTCTCAGCAGTTTACAGAGTCAGCCTCTTGCCCACAACAATCTGGGCCCCCATTTTACGCACCTCGGAAGGATGGGAGGCTGAGTCAACCTTGAGCCAGTCAGGATTGAACTGCTGACTAGGCACAGTCAGCCTGCAATACTGCACTCTAATCCCTGCACCAAGATGGCCTCCTTCCTCTTATCTTCCTTCCTTTCTTCTTCCCTCCCTCCCTCCCTCCCTCCTTCCTTCCTTAGCAATAGCACTTAGACTTATATACCACTTCCCAGGCCCTTTCTAAGCGGTTTACAGAGTCAGCCTATGGCTCCCAACAATCTGGGCCCTCATTTTACTGACCTTGGAAAGATAGAAGGCTGACTCAACCTTGAACCAATGAGAATTGAACTGCCAAATTGCAGTCTGCTGGGAGTCAGCAGAAATAGCTTGCAGTACTGCACTCTAACCACTGCACCACCGAGGCTCATGGGTGCTTGGAAAAGAAACCTGACCCAAGGAGAACCAGCAGAGCCCAGGGATGGAGCAGCATGTCTGCAGAGGCCCTCACTGTGTTCAGAATAATAAATAGTGACACACATGTTGATCTTTTTAAAAACACCACAAAAAACCAGTCATTACTTGCAAAGTAGGTAAACAATACATTTTGCATTTTTTGCACCCAGGAAGAGGTGCTGCCCGCGGATCCAGAGGTGGTATTCAGCTGGTTCGGACAGTTCTGATGTACCGGTAGCAGACATTTTGACCAGTTTGGAGAACTGGCAAATACCACCTCTGAATGGCCCCGCCCTTTCTCGTCCTATATTCCACTGATTTTCAGCTCAGCTGATTCGCAAGGCAGAGCCACGCCTCAGCTGAGCTAAAAAACAGTTCACCTCACCTAGGGCGATCTTTGAGTTCTGTGCACGCAAAGCGATCTTTGAGTGCTGCGCGCATGCAGGAAGTCATCTTTGAGTGCAGTGCATGCGCACACAGAACCAGTAGCATGCAATTTGGAACCCTACCGCTGCGCAGATCCCCTACTGAACATGAGGGAGCCACAGTCCTTGCTGGCACTGCCCGCAGAATTGTGGTGGGGGAGCCCTTGGGTTTCTCGTCTTCCCACCCATAGCTTCATTTTCCAGTTAAAGATCCAGCTTCTCCCGCATTTCCCTAAGCAACATTTTTTTAACCAGAGCCTGAGACTGTTTGTCATCAGCATGACTTCCTTCCCCTGAAAAAAAAATCTCTGGGCACCAAACACACCTGAACAATAAGCAAATACCAGTGATGTTTGGGCGTCTTCCTTGTGGCTGAGACCCTTGAGGCCTGGTGCGTTTCCAAGCTCAGACCTGTGGAAAGCTGCTGTCCTCAACACTGTCCTGCACTTAGCCACAAACCATGGTTTACATGTCTGGGTTTGGAAAGCCCAACTTAATCACCCTCTATTAGGCTTGGCCCACTATGTCATTGCAACCATGCTTCAATTAATATAAGGGTTTACAGCAGCCCAGTCGGGCAGCTGAAAGGAACGAGGGCCGTAAGGGTGGGATGGACTTCCTGCCTGGGACCCCCAGACTGCTGGCTCTGGAAGATGCTCTTAGGCCACTGAGCTGTGGGGGCTCCTGCAGGACAGCCTGCTGGTAGCTGAGTCGGGGGACACTCTGCCTAACGGACGAAGGGGTCTCCGTGTCCATTGCATCAGCCCACCAAAGTGTCCTCGGGATACAGTTGCACCTACAAACCCTTTTTCTTGGTGGGTTTTGAAGTTCCTCAGAGAAGGTGTCCATGAAGAGAACTGGCCTAAGGAACAGATCCCAACCTGGCACTGCAGCATCAGGTGAGCAGCGGCTTGCCTTTTTTTTCCTTGCTCCTACCCCACAGACAGCCTGTGAAGTACCACAATGTGGCAAAAACACACAGAGGATGTGGCCAAACAGAGTCCACTATTAAGTCCCTGTGACTGTAGGGAAAAACCTAGCCGCCACACCGTTGTTCTTCAAATAACATTCTGCCGTCAAGCCAACGTGCAGCAGCATTTTGCATGCAGTTCCATCCAGATCTGATTTTATCAAATATTTCTCCGTAGTCCAAGAAGACACGGTGAGTTGACTAAAAGTACGCTTGGCTTTTTTTTTTTTTTTAAGAGCTTCACGAATCCCTTCACGGAATGCTGTTGGTTTTTGATTCTGATCCAAGAGCATCCATGGGAAATAAAACAGTCAAAAGTGCAACACTGGTTTTGTTTTGTTTTTACATGCACTGAATGTGCAACGTTTACAACAAAGGGGCTTCGTCTTTCCTTCGCTGCCCTGACCCAGCCAAGGCAGAATTCTTCACATAATTCTACCATTTTTTTCTTATGGGATACAAAAAAAACCGTATAATGTGCAGGATCGCCACGTCATCTTCTCTTTTGATGCTCCTTGTTCTTGATGGCATCCCCAGGCATGGAAGCCCCAAAGCACTTAAGAGCGTCTCTGCAATGGCTGGCAGGGTCCGATGCTATGCAAAGTAGGCCCAGAGAAAGACTCCGGCGCTGATGCACAGGATCAGGTTGATGTTGAGGATGTGCTTCACCAGAGGTGGCTCGTCAAGGGTAGCCGTGGGCGTGACTCCAGCTTTGGGTTCGGCAGCGGTCCCGGGTGAGTCCTTATTACCTCTCCTCTCCATCCCACAGACCCACAAAAAGAGGCTCATGAACTTAGACTTCTTCTCTGTCTTCTCTGTGTCCAAAGAACCTGCAGGCAAGACAATCAGCGGTAAGAAGATGAGAAGACTGGAGGCTAAAAGATACGATGAACGGCTGCAGGAACTGGGACTGGCTAGTCTAGTGGAGAGAAGGACCAGGGGAGATAGGAGAGCAGCCTTCCAATATCTGAGGGGCTGCCCCCAAGAGGAGGAAGGGATCAGGATATTTTCCAAGGCACAAGGAATAATGGATGGAAACTGGTCAAGGAGAGATTCAAACTAGAAATAAGGAGGAATTTTCTGATAGTGAGAACAATCAATCCGTGGAACCCAGGGAACAGGAGTTGCCTTTAGAAGTTGCAGGAGCTTCATCGCTGGAAACTTTCAAAAAGAGACTGGGCTGCCATCTGTCAGAAATGGTGTAGGATCTCCTGATTGGGCAGGGGGTTGGACTAGATGACCTACAAGGTCCCTTCCAACTCTGTTCATCTGAAAAAATAACTCTACAGTTTACTCAAAATCTCCCCATTTGGGCCTCTGGAATTTGCTGGCAAGTTCTGGGACTGATCCCGATGGTCTCTAGGACTCAACGCTGACTCAAAGGTGCCAAAAACAAAAGCAGATTAGCTGCCGATCCCAGAATGTGTCATTATAAATGTTAAAGCTCAGATTAGTAGATTTAATGTCCTAATTTGACTTTTTTACAAATTTGTGAAGGGTTCTTGCAAGGGATCTCCTGGGCTTTGCCAACAATCGCCTCTAGGGGTCACTACAAGACCATGGAGAGAAAGGCAGCCCTGGGGTTCTCCCTCTGGGAATCCCTAGATATTGGGGCTTCTAATATCAGTACCATTTTCCAATCTCTTTGATGCTGTTGGGGGGGGGGGGCACCCCTGATTTTGTAGCCAGGATGTGGGATGCCCAGAATTGCTTTGGAGCCAAGAAATTACTTCGTCCCCAGAAAAGTGCATCTCAGTCTCCCTGAAAACAAGGAAGAACCCAAGAAATGTCCAGTTGGCCTTTTGGAAAAAGCTCCCTTGGGACTACTCTGACCGGGGTGAATCTGCACAGACAACTAAGCAAACCAGCTCTGGATGCCATTTGGGATCCTGCCCAGCCTTCGCTCACAGGTCCTGCTGGCTTCCTGATTCACCTGTGTGGAAAGGGAAGTGGTGACACCCAAGCCGGAAAAGCCCGAAGGGAACATCAGGCCAGCCATAAAACAAACTTGCATAGGAAAAGAGATTTAATAAAAGGTATTGAAAGAAGCCCCCTAGACAAAAGCCAAGTAATTAAGAAAGCTAGGGAAACAAGAAAAAGAAATCCCTTACAAACAACAGGTCATGCCAAATTAGCAAAACAAATAGACAAAAGACACGAAATAAATTCCATAGCAGACAGGAGATTGCCACGAAACAAATATAAGAAAACATTAGGATGAAACTGATAATCCAATCAAACCACCCCGCGGAGTTTACCCTCTGGCGGAAATAAAGACAACCCTTGACAGGATTTAAAACATTAAGAAATACAAACACAAGCACACACACACAAAAATAGAAAAGGTATAAAAATCAGGGGGTTATTATACAAAGATGGCTAGCCCCAGGAACGCAGACTTCTTGCTATCTCTTGCCTTCCTGAAAAATAAAAGGAACCCGCTTCCAAGCAGTTGTCTCTGTCTTTAAACCAGAGTTCTCCCAGCAGGAAAATCGAGCTCTCAGAAGAAAGGCATTTTCCAGCCTTTCAACACCTGCACTTGGAAACCAACCCGTCAGAGTTTGGGAGACAGAAACTCAGCTGATCAAGGCCACTTGGGGTTGGGAAGGAGATCTGTCCGAATCCTCCCCTTTTCACTGTAGGTCAGGATCAATATCTTTTATATCAGGAACTGGGTCTGGCTAGTCTAGTGAAGAGAAGGACCAGGGCAGACAAGATAGCAGCATTCCAATATTTGAGGGGCTGCCCCAGAGAGGAGGAGGAGAGGGTCAAGCTATTTTCCAAGGCACCCGAAGGCCAGACAAGGAATAATGGATGGAAACTGATCAAAGAGAGATTCAACCTGGAAATAAGGAGGAATTTCCTGACAGGGAGAGCAATCAACCCGTGGAACAGAAGTCGCCTTTAGAAGTTGTGGGAGCTTCATCCCCGGAAGCTTTCAAGAAGAGACTAGACTGCCATCTGTCAGAAATGGTGTAGGGTCTCCTGCTTGGGTGGGGAGGGTTGGACTAGATGACCTACAAGATCCTTTCCAACTCTGTTAATCTGTAATCAAGGGTTTTTCACCTCCCTTTAATTATGGAGAATAAAAAGGGGGTACGATGCTAAACTCCCCCTCAGAAATTAGAATGGCCCCAATCCTGATGACTTTTCATAAGGCTTTAAAGACTTGGCTGTTTATATATAAATTTATATAAATTTATTTTGGATGTTTTTGGTGTTTAAAATGAATAAAATACACACAAAGAGGGGGGGAAATAGATTATATAGATAGATGAAAGAGACAGACAGACATGATAGATAGATAGATAGATAGATAGATAGATAGATAGATAGATAGATAGATAGATAGATAGAGATAGATAGATAGATAGATAGATAGATAGATAGATAGATAGATAGATAGATAGATAAGTAGGTAGGTAGGTAGGCTGGCAGGCAGGCAGGCAGGCAGGCAGGCAGACAGACAGACAGACAGACAGACAGATAGATAGATAGATAGATAGATAGGGGAGAAAGAGAGAGAGAGAGACAGACAGACAGACAGACAGACACAGAGAGACAGACAGATGATAGATAGAGAGAGAGAGACAGACAGACAGACAGACAGATAGGGGGAGAGAGAGAGAGATCTGTGTCTACAGAGACAGACAGATGATAGACAGACAGACAGACAGATGACAGTCGATAGATAGATGAGAGAGAGAGAGAGAGAGAATGGGACCCCGGCCAATTTGCCCTCTGCTCTGTCCCTTTGGAGAAGGGGGTCAAGGAGGCACAGCCCCTCTGCAGCCACAACTCCTGGCCTTCATCGGCTGACAGATTCTGTTCCTCATCCAGATGGGCCTATTACCTGAGAGGTTTTTGCAAGTGTTTTCTGGACCATCCGCGATTTCCAGCTGCCCTGCGGGAGAAGGACCAACCTCATGGATTCCTTTGACTGGGATGGATAACGATGCAATTGGTACATCCTGTTTTCTTGGAACATCCTTGCGGGTAAACCAGGTGAGGCGGCTGATCTGTTTGGACAAAAAACAGGGTGGGACAGAATGGCTTTATTTTCTTATTTTTATAAAGAAATAACCTTTATTGAACATTTAAAACATTAAAATACAAAACACAATACAGATATTTAAAATGAAAATGTTGTGTATATTACAATCCATTTTGACAGTACTTATATTTCAATTGTTATTCCAGTGCACATTTTATACTCCTAGTTGTTCTTACAAAAAATACCTCTATCTTTCTAAACTAGACATTCCTTATTTATTTGATTGCTTGTTTCTATTATTTAACCAATGATACCAATTTTCCCAAACTGTATAATAATCTGAGTCTTCGTTCTCTTTTAATTCTAGTGTAAGTTTGTCCATTTCCGTGCAATCGAAAATCTTTTGGATTATTAAGCCATCTGTTGGTATAGAATCTCCTTTCCAACATTGTGCGAGTGCAAATCTCGCTGCTGTAATTATATGCAGGATTAGGTATTTTATCTCTTTCATATAATTCCCTTTGATAATTCCCAGGATAAATATTTCTGCTTTATTTCTTTCGGCGATCCAAAGGCCTTCCACATGCAAATGGCACCACAATTGGAGTTCAGTGCCATCCTTCGGTAAGCCAGTTAACTCGACAAGTTTATCAAGAAGAGACTGGACTGGCATCAGTCAGAAATGGTGTAGGTAGGGTCTCCTGCTAGGGGAAGGGGTTGGACTAGATGACTTACAAGGTCCCTTCCAGAGGTGGTATTCAGCAGGTTCTGACCAGTTCTGAAGAACCAGTAGCGGAAATTTTGAGTAGTTCAGAGAACTGGCAAATACCACTTCTGATTGGAGATTTTACATTGTCCTTGCCCTGGCATACCAAGCCATACCCCCAAAAAATTGAATCCCACCACTGGTCCCTTCCAACTCTGTTCATCTGTTAAATCTTATTGAGAGCAGATTTGCTGTTTTGCAGCTGCAGAGAAGATGTGTCACGTCCCTGTCAGAATCTGAATCCAAGGAAGAAGATGGACAGCTGACAGGGAATGGGAATGTGGCTCTGTTGCCTGTGGAGGAGGCTGGGGAAGGGCAAAGTCTGGCTGGGCAGAGAAGAGAAGAGGTAGAACAAGGGAGAGGGAGTTCAGAGGAAGACCCAGGCCCACCCCCTCTTCATCCTACGACATGCAGGGAGGAACGGAGAAGGGAGCAATGTGAGTTGCGTGGCTTAGTGGGGAGGAAAGGGTCCTGATTCCCTTCATTAGCCACAGCTGGGAAGAGAGTTTAAAAGAGATGCAAGCTGAGTGCAGCAGCTGCTGGGAGCAAACATGAGTTTATCTTGTGTTGACTTTGCTTATCTGTGTTCCTGGAGCCTTCCCAACCATGCTGACTTATTGCCGTGCCTTCACATTTGGAGTTCTTGCTCCTGCCAGACTAATTACCTTATTTTGCCTTGATTGGACTTATAGTTACAGTTTTTGTTGACCACGTTTTGGACTTGGATTCTGTGCAGCCAAAGGCTGTTCCTGGGTGAGTTTTTCTCCAACCCAGAAGGTAACCAGGACATTGGGGGTAAAAGTTGGAGGTAATAAAGGGACTCCTACAGATTAACTGACTGTGTTGCCTTTGTGCCACATCCCTTTGGGTCATCACAGGATGAAACTAGCCAGAATGAATGAAATCATCAGCACAATTCCTGCCCCAAAAGAAACGTTCTAAGAGGCTGACAGGAGCAACCAGGGAAGGTGACTTCCCATTGCCAGCAACTGGGGCTGGGGCTCCACCATCGCCACTCCAAGCATGGGACCTTCCTGGACCCTCGCCTGACGGTGTGGCCAGCCGGTGTGGCTTGGATGGTGAGGTAAGCATGAAGAAAGTCGACAGGAAGAGTCCCAAGGATCTTTACAGCCCAGCTAAACAGAGAAGAGGTAGAAGTTCTGCATACTTTCTGGCCTCTGCTACTGTGGCAAGTTTGCATATTTTTCCTGGGTCCACCATAGTTTCTGCCTCTCTATAGAAACCCCCATCTCTGATACCTGACATAATAGCAGTCTTCCAACGCTTGAAGGGAGAGGGGGGCCGACTTATTTTCCAAAGCACCTGAAGGCAGGAGAAGAAACAAAGGGTGGAAACTAATCAAGGAGAGAAGCAACCTAGAACTAAGGAGGAATTTCCTGACGGGAAGAACAACAACCCGTCGAATGGCTGGCCTTCAGAAGTTGTGGATGCGCCATCACTGGAGGTTTTTAAGAAGAGACTGGACAGCCATTTGTCTGAAATGGTATGGGGTCTCTGCTTGAGTGGGGGGGGTTAGGCTAGAAGACCTCTGAGGTCCTTTCCAACTCTTCTATTGCTACTGCCTTAGGAATAAGACTTCACTGCAAAACAGAACTCCAACCAACCTATTTCTGGCATGTAATGAAGCTTGAGTCCGCAAGGCTTAATTCAGGAAAATAAGGTATTTCTATTGAGACAGGTATTTGTTCTATCCATCTGGCCGACTGTTTTTCTCTACACTAGGGGTCTCCAACCTTGGCAACTTTAAGACTTGTGGACTACAACGCCCAGAAGAAGCTTTGCTGGCTGAGGAACTCTGCAAGCTGAAGTCTACAAGTCTTAAAGTTGCCTACACAACTCTTAGGTCAAATTCCTTCTCACTGATTTTATTCTAGGTAGCCAGATCAGTCTAAGCAGAGCACTAAACCACGAGAGTGAAAACAGCCAACATCTTTCTCAATGCGCATACCATTTCCTCCGGAGGGGGTTCCGTCAAGAGGCTGACAGCCACCACTACGATGAGTGTGATCACTCCCAGAATCATAGAGAAATAGAGATAATGCACGTATTTCACCACGGCTGGCCGGTCATCTGACTCCCCACAGCCCGGCTGCAGGTAGACGAAATCCAAAACCATCCGGATCAGGCCTATCACCATGCCGACCAACAGGCCACAAAATGCCCCCTGAAGGAACATCAACAAAAGAAACCAGGTTAGTTCTCTGACCCTCAACCAACTGCCCTCTTTTAAGAACCACAAGAGCTTACAGGCCACCTGTCAGCTGCCATCTATACTCGCTTGTATGTTTCGCTACCATGCAGTGACAGTCTGCCATGAACTTTTGGGGAGGATGGATGGGAGGGAGAATGCTTTGGGGGAAAGCGGAAGTAACTGCTGGATCTCCCTGGGAGTCTGCTTCAAGGTCACCCAGCTGGGAGAAGAAGGCAGCTGCATACCAGTTACGTGCCACGCCCTTGTTGGAGTCTGATTCTGAGGGGGAAATTGAGCAGCTGACAGGGAGTGGGAATGTGGCTCCGGTGGCTGTGGAAGAAGTGGGAGAAAGGCACAGCCTGGCTGGGTATTCAGAAGAAGACCCGGGGCCACCTCCTCTTCATCTTAGGGCATGCAGGGAGGAATGGAGAAGGGAGCAATGTGGCTTACGGGAGAGAAAAGGGCCCTGATCCCTTTCATTAGTTGCAGCTGGGAGTAAAGGATATTAGAAGGGTGTTTGCATACAGCACCTTGCTGGAAGCAAAGCGTGCATTATCTTTGTCGAGGCTTATTTGGGTTTGGTGTCTTCCCAACTGTGTGTGCTTCGATATCTTTTGGAAGTCTGCAATTTATTATCCTGGCCTGTCATGTTGATTACTTCAGCGTGGTTTGTGTTGGTTTTTTTTTTTTTATTTCTAATTTATCTCTACTTTGGGTTCCGACTGCATTTCTTCTCTTCGCAGACTGTTTTTGGAAGAGTTTGATCTCCAGCTGAGGATAACTGGACATTGGGGGCCAAGTTGGAGGCATTAAAGGGAATTTATCTATTTTTGTGACTGTTATTTTTGTGCCACGCCTCGTATTACCACACTATGCTTGAAATATCCATTCGGGAAATATCTTTCTTGAACCTGATTGGTCATGGGGGTCAGTGGTTGGTGGCAGTTAAGGGAGGGAAAAGCTGAACTTCGGGGATTTTGGCACATGATTCCGTCTATGCGTTGCTGCAATACAATTGACTTCTCATAAAATTATATCTTTCTCAACAAATGGAGCCAAGGACCGTTTCAAGTTAGAGGTTTAAGTGGTGGCAGGTCCGACACCCCCCCAAAGTGCTCAGAATTACCTTCTCGTTTGTCCGCTTCCAGAAGCATCCGAGGATAAACACGATGGCCACCGGCGGCTGCAGGTAAGAGCTGATGGTCTGGATGTAGATGAAGAGCTGCCCACCTTGGCTGGCCTGCACCAGCGGGATCCACAGAATGGAAATGATGACAAGGAGTAGAACAAACACCCTGTGGGATGGAGGAAGGAAGGCCTGGTCAGTTGGGTTTCATGGTCTTCTAACTGGGGATGAGCAGATCATGGCAGTGAGTGAAGGGCTTGATTTCGTTGTACGAGGTGCAATGACAATAAAGTAAACTAAGATCAGGAGCTTTGGAATGGCGGATTTGGACTGAGCACGGTTGGGAAAAGCGCTCTGGCCTTCGCAGAGCACAGCCCTTCTCTGCTGTTCATTAAAGGATCCCGAGCTTTATTCAGGCTTCTGGGTGAGGAAGAATTGTGTCAGTCCCGCCATCTTCACCACACCTTGCTTCGGCTGGCATCCTGCCATAAAACCAGTGGTGGGATTCAAAAAAATTTACTACCCGTTTTGTGGGCATGGCTGTTCGGACCCAAACCTTGTTCCAAGGAAACAAACATGAAACAGAGGTAACAGCAAAACCTTTTAATGATTCTTTACGAATTCCCTTCCTTCCCAATTAAAAAAGCTGTTTCAAACTAATTGTCTCTGATAAGAACCATCCTTGCCGAGGTGGTGCAAGGCTGCCAAGAACAACAGATAAAGTTGCCAAGAAATATTTCAAACACAAAAAGTCTCCAAACACAAACTAAGAAAGTCTGAACCTCCACAAGACTTGAGTGCAAAAATTTCTTTGCTTCCTGCAAAGAACTCTGGTTTCTCAGCTGGCTTTTTATCTCTTAAGGGAGGGGCCATTACCTTGCAGCCTTACTCCCGAGTCCCCCGTGTTACTGCAGATGCTCTTTCCTTCGAGCAGCTCTGCGCCCACATGCACTGGGCACAGGCTCCTCGGGATCCTCTTCCTCACTGCTGCCAGCCTCCACAATCTCCAAAGACAGCATTCCACTCCCTGAAGGTCCTGGCCCCATCCCTGCCTCACACGCAGGCCCCTCATCTGAGTCCTCACTCTCCAAGACCTCAGCCGCCTGCAACTGCTGCCAGCAAACCACAACAGTGTCAGGAGAAGGTCACTGCAAAATCCCATTCCCTCCCCACCCCACTAACCTGCTTTCCAGTTCTATTCTCCTGTGTAGGGCAACCAAAGGAGACCCAGCCAATCATCTGGGACTCAATGGGAGGCAGAGAAGAGATGGGGTTGGCGGGGCCAGTCAGAGGTGCCAGTGGCTGGTTCTCTAAACTACTCAAAATTTCCACTACCGGTTCTCCAGAACCGGTCAGAACCTGCTGAATCCCACCTCTGCATAAAACCCAGGGGGAGGGGAGAGGAGGAGGGGGAAATAGGGAATGAGCAAAGGGAGGAAAGGAGGGGATGTTAAGAGTGTCAGGAACCAAAAGTGTCGATCAAGGACAGACAGTGAGAGTGAAATGTAAAACTATTACATAAAGGTGCCAAACCTCAATGCCTTTTCCCAAACCCCTAAAACAAATCCAACTGGACACTGATGGACTGGTCAAGAGGGAGGGAATGAAAGACCAGGAAAAAAATGCAGAAATATTCAGATCCAGCTTTGCTTATCTTGTAACCCCCTTGAACTTAGTTAAAGTAAACCTTTCACTTCAACCATGGAGTCGAGGGTCTTTCTTTCCTGAGGACCAAGTTGGGACAGTCCTGACACGTGGTTTTACAGAACCCAGTTATGAACATGTAAGCTGAATCCCTGAAAAAGGTCAGGCTCCTTGAATGACCATCAGAGAGACGGGGTGTTGTGCACACGCACAAAGTCCAAAGCATTTCTTTCCAATGATCTTCGGAATAAGTTCAGGCCATATAGGTCTTATTTGTTCATCGGTTTGGCTAAAGCTTGACTCCTAGAATTAGAGTAGAATAGAGCTGGAAGGGACCCTGGAGGTCTTCTAGTCCACCCCCCTGCTCTGGCAAGAGAACCTATACTAATTCAGATAAGTGACTGTCTAGTCTCTTTTTAAAAGCCTCCAGTGATGGAGCGCCCACGGTTTCTGGAGGTAAGCTGTTCTGTTGGTTAATTGTCCTCACTGAATGAATGAATGAATTCTTTATTGGCAAAGTCTGGTTGGACACACAAGGAATTTGTCTCGGTGTAAATGCTCTCAGGGTACATAAAAGAAAAGATGCATTCGTCAAGAGTCGAGAATCATCATGTACAACACTTAATGATACTCATAGGGTACAATAAGAATAGGATAGGATAGGATAGGATAGGATAGGATAGAATAGAATAGAATAGAATAGAATAGAATAGAATAGAATAGAATAGAATAGAATAGAATAGAATAGGAATTCTTTATTGGCCAAGTGTGATTGGACACACAAGGAATTTCTCTTGGTGTAAATGCTCTCAGTGTACATAAAAGAAAAGATACATTCATCAAGAGTCAAGAATCATCAGGTACATCGCTTAATGATAGTCATAGGGTAGGATAAGAATAGAATAGAATAGAATAGAATAGAATAGAATAGAATAGAATAG